TTACTTTTAAAAAATTAAGATAAAAAATACAAAAAATACATTAATTTATATTTTAAAAATATAATATTTTAATCTTTTTAATATATGTTTATTAAAATGACGTATTTTTAAAATAATATTTTTTTTAATTTTTAAAAAGTAAAATGAATAAGCATTATTTATTATTATTATTATTTTTTTTTTGTTTTCGCATTTGTTTTTTTTACGGTGTGTTCTTTTCAAGCCTGTCCTTTTCGGACACGGTCTGGTCCAATCTTGTTGCATGGGCCTTACCTGGGCCCCCTTTTTGGTATACAAAAAGTGGCTCCTCTCCCCATCATGTTTCATTTGGGCCATTGCCAGTTCATTTTTTTTTTTTCTCTTTCCATTCTTTGTTGAGAATTGAGAAATTTCTACTTGCACAATGAAGTTTCAAGTCAAGTGGCTGAACCACTAGTACTCGACCCTTTCTTTCTTTGTTTCCTTCTTCCCCTTTTTTTTATTTTTTATTTTTTTTTAATGTATTAAAATAAGTAGGTTAAGTTTACAAGAAAAAAAAATAAGAAAAAAGGTACAAGTTCAAACTCTTATTTTGATTTTTTAGAAATCTTTTATATTAGCAACAAACTTATTTTAATTACCAAAACATCACCTTAACACTCGAACCAGTGGCGGAGCCAGGGGGGTGCGAGGGGGGCGCTCACCCCCTTGAAATTTGAAAATCTTGTAAATCAGTATATAATTAGTATATGAAAAATTATTTAACCCGCTTTGAACTTTGAAAATTTTAGTTTGTTACCCTCCCTGAAGAAAATTTCTGCCTCCGCCCCTGACTCGAACTCTTAAATTATATAAGTATCTTTATGATCGTTCTGGTTTAAAATATATCTATTTTTTTAATGAGAAATTGTTGTTTAAGATATGTGCACTTAATTTTTCAATTTGTAAAATATTAAGGATAAAATGTAGAAATTTCCCTTATGTACAACAAGAGAAAAGAGATGCACTCAAAAAAGAATAAAGGAAAAAACAAACAAACAAACAAAAATAACAAGAGAAAAGAGAAAATAGGATGACGTTTTTGACTTCTCAATTTAATACTAACTACTTAAGGATATTAAGTGTATATTTTCAAATTACAAAAGATCAAATTACATATTTTTGTAATTTGAGTGTTAAGCGCACTCATCTTGAAAATAAATGTGATTCACACAATTATATGAAAAGATATGAGTGTGATGTTTGAATATACTGTGAGAAATTTGGGAAGGAGAGGATATGAAAATTATGTATGAGTTTAACACAAACAAGCAACTGTTTTTATTTTAACAAAAAATTACTAATACAGGCAAAATAATTTATTCGTACAATAAAAATATCTGAAAAGAATACAAGGTCCATAATCCATGGCGAAGAGATAAGGAGAGCTCCTCAGATGGCAATGAGGCTCGAACCACGCAAAGCGACAAAGATGAAGAAGAAGAGCACAGAAATTGTCATCTTTGTGTTGTTGGAATCTGATGTAGTCGGAGTTGTTGTTGTTGATGGCGAAGTCTTAGATCCTGAAGGAGAAGCTGAGGGAGACCCAGTTGGAGCTGCACATTCAAAAAATCAGTCACCACTTTAGTCAATGAAATTGAATTACTCGATCTTTTGATGGATTCAAAGAATTCACGTTTACCCTCTAAGGGTCTAACTGGTAGAACTTGCGATTTTAAGTCGTCAGTGAAAAAGGGAAAAGGGAGAGCTATGGTACCAAGTTTTAAAGTAAGATTTCTTTCTTACCGTTGCACTGGCTAATAGAGGGAGTCTGGACATTGCAGGCTTTTGGGAGCTCCAAGGCCCGAGTCTGGTTAATAGTAATACCCAGTGAAGAGCCGCCGTTATTGAGAATCTGGCACAGGCACAGCGGATTGGACGCCACTACGCTGGACAGCCCCGTGCAGCAGGAAGAAGACGGGGTGGATGAATTTCCAGTGATGTAATTCAGACATGGAGACAGGCTAACAATAGCACTGGAACAAGAACTTGATTGTGCCACAGCTCCTCCCCAAAACGCCGCCACAAAAACAACTGTCACAAGAACAATTCTGTCCATCCTCATAGCTGCCATTACCGGAAATCGAATCGGAAACCGGAGAAGTTTTTGCTTAATTAATTGCTGGTTGGATAAGGATGGGGAGAGAAGAACATGATGTGAGGTTATATAGAGAAAAAGATGTTAATGCTGTTCAACAACTCTTCCTAATTCATAATAGATTCTTGGTAATTAACAATTTTGTATACATATTTTTTTCAAAATTTAAGTCGGCTAAGACTAACAATAGGGATATTCAAACATTTTTCCTTTCATATTAACAACACGCGTGATGTCCCCATGATGTGTTTGATTATGTAAAAGTAAAGACAAATGCGTGTTCATTATACCTGCTACTACCTTATTTTATTTTTATATGAAGTCATGGAGCTACATACGGGGCTAATATTAGGCACAAGGATCAACTAATCCCAAAGAAAAATGCAAGAACTCAAATCTGCAATTCTTTTTGAACTAAGGTATGAAAATGAGATCCTTGTAAGATATTTGAATTGTACCTTACAAAAGTAGTTTTGTTTATAAATTTATTAAAAAAAATTTAGTAAAATAATATAAAAAATAATTTTATTAAAAATATTTTAATAAATTTATAAGTAAATTATATTTTTAATGTATCATTTATCATGTAAAATCTTTTTTTTTTTAATGAAAATTATGAATTTAGAAAATTGGGTTCAAGTCATTTGTTAACAAACGCAAAGCTCTCATTGGCATATGTCATGTTCGTAGTCAGAGAGTTAAGGCAGGGTTAGTACCTATTATTGACTTTAATGTTGTTTCAAGCTTTACCCGTACGATCATCTCTTCTGCCATTTTTTCTATTGAGTATGCCTGAAGGAACAGTTGGCGATGCAGATGTTTCATATAAAGTATCAGGTGGAGGACTTGATTACCTCCTGGACCATTAGTACTTGGACAGGTTGTGCGGTTTAACTGGGGGTGGTTGCACGTCGCAAGCTATGGGGAGTGACTGCGAGAGTCTAATTGATGGAAATGCCTAGGGATGACCAGTTGAGGCACTGACATTGAGCACCGATCAAAGACACTGTGGCTGTGACTGAACAACTTTGGCAAGCTGAGAGCAGCAAGAAGAGATGTTGGGGTTGTGGAATTTCCAATGATGTAGTTTAAACATGGGGATAAGCTCATGATCACATTGACGCGCAACCTGACTGAACCATGGCCTCATAACACAACATGGCTGCTTGGATCAGGGATATAGTGTCTAATCTGAATCGTTGATGGAACCATTTTGTAGTAGATTTTGAAAGAATAATTTGTTAGTGGAGTGAAGGAATGAGGATGATAACAAGGGAACCTTGTATAGAAGATGATAGTGCTATTAGTTATATCTGGATGGAGTACTCTTCCTAAAGCAGGGGTCATTTGGTAGATCAGATTTCAAATTTTCAACTATTCGATTTATGTTACATAAGGTCGAAGGCAAATGGCAAAGTGGAATCACTCTATTTTAGCTTCCACAAGGAGACAATGGTCCTTGGACAGTGTTGGTTTTTACTAAATTTAAAATCTTGATATCAAAAAACGTTGTTTCATATTACCAATTAAACAAGGAACGGTGACTAGAATTAGAAAGTAAAGTGTGATTCTTTTGGAACAAACAATATAAGGACATGACAAGAGTCCTTTATTCTTTTATTAACAACTCAATCAAAGAAGCGATAGACACACATAGAATACAAGACAAGCACATTCCCAGAGAGAGAAACAGAATCACTATAAATTAAGCAATCACTAAATCAGGGTTAGAAGAATCATCAAAACATAACAGGGGGAATGTCTCTGCGGAAGACTCTGTCTCAGAATTTGGTGAAAGTCGAAGCACACACCGCGATGAAGACAAGGGAGAGAACCAGATGAACAGGGGCTCTTGCTATGCTTCCATCAGATGATTCTGCTGTTGTTGATGGCACTGTTTTAGACCCTGTGCTTCCTGCATCTGCGTTAATACAAGCATCAGATCAAAACCATAAATTTCTTCCTCTGTTTTCATTCCATCATATGTAAAGCTCTCTTTTTCTTTGTACCTGAAGGAGTCTTTGATGCTGACGGTGTAGCAGCACCAACTGGAGTTTCATCGGCCGGAGAAGCTGCCGGTGAAGTTGCTGGAGCTGTAGGTGTTGCAGTACCTATTGCATCACAGAAAATTTCCAGGCAATAAGAAGTTAAGAACAATGTTCTTTCTTGCTCTAAACGCGTTGGAGTGCAGAGCAGTAGAGGAAAAGGAAATTGAAAAAAATATTGATCTTACCGTTGCATCGGCTAACTGGTGGAGTTTGAACATTGCAAGCACCGGGGAGTGCCAGAGCAAGGGTCTGGTTTATGGTGATACCGAATGATGAGGCACCACCGTTGAGGACGGAGCAGAGGCATTGTGGGGATGATTGAACGACGCTGGCCAGTTGTGAGCAGCACGAAGAGGATGGAGAAGATGAGTTTCCGGTAATGTAGTTTAGGCATGGAGCCAAGCTGATGAGTGTAGTGGTGCAGCCTGATTGAGCGGCGGCTCCGCCAAATAGCACTGCCACAAGAACCAGGATTAAACTCGTCTCAAGACCTCTGGAAGCCATTTCTTGTTCTGAAATTGTCCCTTGTGTTTGGAACGTTCTGGCGGAAAGTTTCTCAATTGGGTAAGTTTTGGAGGTTGGGTGCCGAATGAAGGAAAAGTATACTTCTCAACCTCTCATATAGGAGCGTTTTAAAGAAAAAGACAAAAGGAATTGGTGTAATTTAGATGACCAACTTTTATCTTATTTAGGGTGGTTTTGCTAATTGTAGCATTTTCCAAACAAAAATAGAAAATATGATCCCTTTTTTTTTCCTTTTTTTTCCTTTTTAGCAAAAACAGGGAGCATTTTAGTTTTCAATTAAAAAAAAAAAGACTTCCTCCTTTATTTGTTTCAACCGCATTAAATAAAATTTAAATAGTTATAATTTAATTAATAAATTAAGAGTTTGCTTTCAAATTAATAAGAAGGTAAATCTTTATAAATTCTTTAATTTTGATATAAATGATTAGTTTTTAATCACATCAAAGAAAAATTAATTTTAAGATATATATAAATTAATCGAGAATCACCTTAATTATTTCAAAAAATTACATCAAATAATAAAATTTGAAAATGTTAAACAAAACAAGTTATCTTATTTTTCGTAATTACCTATATTTTATAATTCCATATAATTTCAATAGTAAAACATATATTATTTTTAAAAGATACAAATCCAGAACCACACTAGAATGCCAAATCATCTAACATTGACTGCTGTGTTTCCTTAAAATTAGGAAAAATTATTAATAAAAACATGGCAAAAACCCTTCTTAAGCCCCCAAACTTATCCCAAAATAACATTGAAGCTCTTAAACTAAAAATAAAACAGATAACCCCTCTAACTCTCTTAACAATGCAAATAAGCCCTTCTCATTTATGGGTGTTCATGCTTTTATGGTGATATTAAACATGAAATACTATTCGGCTGGTTTATAAGAAGGGCTTATTTGCATTGTTAGTAGAGTTAGAGGGCTTATTTGCTTATTTTGGTTTAGGAGCTTGAATACTATTTTGGGGTAAGTTTGGGGGCTTAAGAAGGGTTTTTGCCTAAAAACATTCCTTGCATAATGAAAATTAGTTTGAGTAGTTGAACTCCATACCCACTTCAAATCTGCCTGGTTTTCCCTCCAAATTACTCAAAAACCTATAAACCTATAAAACCAATCCCCCCACGTAACTGTCTCACATTCCTCAACAGATTCGCAGCCATTCAAGAAAAAGAAAAAGAAAAACCATGAAAGCTGCCTTCAGGGTTTTGCAGCTGATGATTTCTATCATAGCAACTCTGACAGTTTTTTCAGTTAATGGACAGATCACTACACCGTGCACAACCTCAATGATCACTAGCTTCACACCGTGTCTGAATTTCATCACGGGAAGCACCGCCAACGGGGTAGGGACGCCATCTCAGAGCTGCTGCAGTTCCTTGAAGTCACTCATGAGCTCCAGCATGGACTGTGCTTGTCTTATAATTACAGCAAATGTTCCTATCCCCATTAACCCAATCCTAGCACTTAATCTAACCCAAGTATGTAACGTTGCTGGTGCAGGGCAGTGCAAAGGTGCAAATATGCAATCTTAATTTGGACAAATTAAAGAATCTTTGCCTTTTTACTTTATTTTCTGCTAAAAACTTCTAATTCTGTTCTGTTTTGTTTTGCAGCTACTGGCACTCCTCTTCCTGCTCCAGGTATCATCCATCTTGCATTTATTAGTCATAAAATCAAAAAGAAAAAGAATAAATAAAAACAAAGAGGCATTGGCCTCTAAGTTAGAAGTCGAATTAATTTTCTTGAGACAGGTGTAGAGAGATTTTGAGGAAGAGATGATCTCATCAGATGTACCAAAACAAAATCTCGTCATGGAAATTTCCAAATGGTTACGTTTGGTTCACCAAGTTACAATCAGTTTTTAACTGGGATTTTTGTTGACAGGTCCTGTTCCTTTATTTCGGGGGCCAGCTCTCCCACCTCGAGTTGCCTCTCCTTTACGTCCTCCACCTTTAAGCCCTCGAGGTACTCAATCTACAAATATATTTTTTGGGCCAGCTCTTCCCTGTATGGCTGAATTGTTCTTTTTTTTCTATATTTTGTTTTGTTCAGCTTCCAAAGATGCAACAGCAGCAGCAACTCCAGCACTAAAATCTGCAACTCCCCTGGATTTGTCACCTGCCTCTCCACCAGCTGAAGCAGAAGCACCCAAAACCAGTCCAGGGGTCAGGCCGGTGCTGACACCGTCTGCATCCGATTCATCCTCACTTGCGCCTGCAACAGTGCTTTTTATATTAATCGGATTCATGTTGTTCAAATCATGCTGAGGACTTGCAAAGACTATCTAATCATCTTAGATGTTTGGTTGGACCTTAATAAGAACGAAAATGATTAAAATATGAAATGAGAGACTTTTCCTTTTGTATCCAAAATTAATTAAATCATAATAGTGTTTTGTAATCTGTTATGTATATGGACTACAAATGTCACAGTTTCATAATTTAATATTACTCTTTAGTCTTTATTAATAATAGAGTTTATATTCTATTTAAGATAACCAATATAGTACTTTTTTATAATTCTATTAAATTTTTTTTTCCATTACTATATAAGCGAAAAAACCGTTCCTACGACTCTTACAAACAAAAATTGCGATAAATTTGGCGGTATTCATGTTCAAACCCACCTTAAAATAAACATCTCTTCCCCTAAAAATACCTTCCACCCCATCTATATATCATTCCATCCATGCAAAAAGAAGCATTAGCCCAGAAAGAAGAATAGGGAGAACAATGGCCAACAAGTTGGTTGCAATTTTCCTCTCGTGCCTTGTGGTTGCGGCAGCTATGTACGTGCCGGCAGCGGCGCAAGCAGCTGGTACTAGCGATGACGACTTCAGGTCTTGCTTCAACAACTGCCACAGTGGATGTACCACCGGAGGCAGCGGCAACACCTTCTGTGAGATGAAGTGCGACGCCGACTGTGTGGCTAAGGAGGCTGCCGGTAAGGTTTTTCTACCATTAAGCAATTAGATTTGGTACAATATTTTAGAGGTTAGTTTTTTAACTTCGTAACATTTTTTTTTTCTCTTTATTTTGCAGCCAAGCTCAACCTTTTACGTCCATGATTGCATTGAAAGAGAAGGAAAGACAAAAATATTGATGCAATAAATGTATGGGAAGGGGTTTTTTATGCTTTTGATTTGCTTTATATAACTAATTAAATTGAACCTATAAAAAGTTCATGGTCTTATTTTACTTTAATTTTTCCTTCTTTGTAAGCAGCTGTAATTCTTTCCTTCTACAATAAAGTTGAATTGTTATTCAATAGCCAGATCATTTTTAAAATTGGTAAACCATATTGTGGAGGATAAATAAAACACAATGGAAACTTTCTATAATTATTAAATTGAAAAAATTAAGAGATTTTTTTTCCACCCAAGATTAGGAATTGGGTCACGCCCACTAACCCCTTCTTTGGTTCATATGTTTCTCTTTAAGGTTTGTTCTTTACCTTACAAAATTTGAATTTTATGGGGAGATCAATAGGAATTCCTTGGGGATATTAGGAAACCCTAATCTTATATACTTTAAGGTATAATAAAAGAAAACTAAACTAATACTAATTAACAGTTATGAAAAAAACTAATAAAATATACATCTCTTTTTTAAATTGACTTATAAGAAAAAAAAAGTACAAGATTGTTTGTAAAATAATGTATATACCTTTAATGAATTACTTATTCGCGTTAATATGTTAATGTTATTTAAAATTTTTATAGACCTTATTGCACATTTTTAATAAAAATAGACTTGAAAAATCCGCATTCCCTAAAATATATAAACAGTGTGAAGGAATTACTTAAAGCAAAGTGTAAATTCATCATTTTTTATAACAAAAAAAACGTTATAATTATAATATTATATAATATTATAATTTTACGTGAAATTAAATAAAATATAATATGATATTAAAAAAATAAAAAATATAAAAAATTAAATAAATTATTAAATAAAAAATTAATTTTATAATAATATATCATATTATAAACGTAAAATACAACATAATATTATAATTATTGATTTTATAATTATGATTTTTCCTTAGAAGAGAAAATACAAATCGCATCTCCTTTTAAAAGCCCAAAGAAAATACACGGTCCAAGACTGCTTTCTGAAAGTTGGGGGGAGGGAGGATCCAAACCCGTTATAGAAATGGGGCATCCGGAAACCCGAAAATGGGAAAGCTAGCTGATGCAAAACCCTAAACCTCACACAGAAACAGCAAATTTCGTACAATCCAAAACCCCAAATCTCCACCGGAAGCTTGGTGATTCAACTCTCAGAGGTATTACCCCGTGAAAATCCCTGTTAGAGGCAGAAGAAAATGGGCTGGAAAGCAGCCGAGAAGCTCATTAGGCACTGGAAAATTCTCCGGGGAGACAATGTAAAGCCTACAATTAATGCATTTTGCTTTCTTCCTTTTTCTTAAATTTATGCTCATTCTTCTCGTAAATCATTTTCAGGTGGTGATAATCAGAGGCAAGGATACAGGTGACACTGGTGTTATCAAACGGGTGATTCGTTCTCAAAATCGTGTTATTGTTGAAGGCAAAAATCTGGTGAGTCTATCGAATTCTTAGTCTTCCATTTACTTTCACTTTCTCGATGAATTAATATCTGTAAGAAATTATTGTTTTTCTAGATGCATGATGAGATTCCAAGAATTGGAATAGCTCACAGCAATGTGTCTATTTCTATAAGGTTTTAGGAGCTTTCTGAAAGATAAAACTTATGGCATTTAGTGTAATGAATCATATTGTATAATTGATCACAGTGTTGGCAGATTTGAAGTTTATGTCCATTTATCCTGATTCTGACATTTTTTTTTAAATTTAGTTATTTTTTCTTGAAAGAGATTAAATTAAGGCTCTTGCATCTTTCCGTCACTAGCTCACCATGATGAGAAACTAGTCAGCCAAGTCTTTTAGAAATTTAGGGTGCTTATCCGGAAGCTTTATAGATTTCTCTAGTAATTGTTTTGTTTGTTATTTCTGCTTTTAGCTCATGGTGATCTATTGTTTATGAGACTGCTTACTTGTTACATGTTTTGCTGGCCTGCTTGTATCTGAATGAATTTTGAAGATTTTTTCCGTGACAATCTTATGGGTGATACCGTCTTGGAAAATTTCCTTGTCTATTAAAAGATATACCTCTCCTGTCTTATTATTGTCTTGGTGGCCGGTGGTCCATCTTTGCAGGTAAAAAAGCATATTAAGGGAGGAATGCATCATGAAGGTGGTATATTTACAGTTGAGGCCCCACTTCATGCCTCAAATGTTCAAGTTCTTGATCCAGTCACTGGGTATGGTGTTCTTTCTGATTCATGATTCGATCATTATTATGCTCTGTCATCATCTTCCTGTTTCTTAAATGACATTAGTGATTATTTGTGCAGGAAACCTTGCAAGGTTGGAATTAAATATCTAGAAGATGGAACTAAAGTAAGAGTATCTAGAGGCATAGGTGCATCTGGAGCCATAATTCCTCGCCCTGAGATCTTAAAGATAAGGACAACACCAAGACCTACAGTTGGTACTAACTAAAGCTTATTCCCTTCTTTTTGCAGTATTATATCTCATGTTTGGCATCCATATTGAAATTGTGTGCTCAAAGCAAATGTTCAGTTCATTTCATTGGCAGTGACATCTTTTATATGAAATTTTCAACATACTAACTCTTCAGTTAAGGAATGGAATCCTTGAAAATAGAGATTTGACGCTCATTGCTGCTTTGTTTATTCATATGATTCTAAACACTTTAATTGACATATGGCATAGGACTCCATATATGGTTAGCACTTTTCTATATAGTTGTACTTCAAGTTTTCAGCTTATTTCTTTCCCATCAAAAATTCAATTTCCCCCCACTTTTTTGCTTCCCATCTAATTGACTTTTGTTGTTTGTTTCGCAGCTGGTCCCAAGGATACACCAATGGGTCTGGTGTTGGACAAAACATACGACCCTAAAACTGGGAAAGGCATGCCTGATCTTTAAACAATCCCCTTCAATTTCACCAGAGGCAGCACTACACATACCAATCATGTATGTTGCAGAAACTATTAGATCATTACATTACATCAATCTGTTCTTTATGCCTATATTTTACAATGTTCTCTTTACTAAATTCAGCTTTCAGCTCTATCAATCTTGCTGACGAATATTGGGTCAGTAAATTTCTAGATTGTATTCAAGTTTTGATCTTACAATATTCCCACTGACCATCAATTTCATGCTCTATTCTTTATTTACCATGAACAAAAGTTTCTCCTCACACCCGTCCCTAGACCAGGGCGGGCAACGGATGGGGTCCATTAAATTCTATGGATTTTCCATTAAGAGCATAACTTTATCAAATCGATCTCTGTGTCTTTTATCTTCTTATATTGTCAATCATATCGCATAAAATAAAATAACTATACTACAAAGTTCTTGAGAACGTTCAATTGATTAAAAGCTTGGGTTAAAAGTTTAAATTCTAGATTGGATGGCATGGGTTGTGAGAAAGAGGTTATTTCTTATTTCAGTAACTCTATATTCGATATAATGACAAAAAAAAGAGAGAGTACAGTTTAATAAATGCAAAATATACTTTTATTAATAATTTAACAGTATTTCAACAATAAATCAACGATTTAAATAGTCCAGTAGTAATCTCGAGAGTTGTCCCACATGACGTAATCAATATATTAAAAAAAAGAAAACAGTACTTCAACAATAACAGTAACATTTATGTGTCCATAGCATACAGTCACTAAAACACTAACGATTAATGAAAACAATTTACCCATTTTTTGTTTTTTTAATCTTTGTTTTTTAAACGTTTCCCTTTAAGGCCCAAGTAAAATTCAGGCAGGCCGTCAGGTGCCCTGCAGCCCAAATTTCTGTTTCCATCAGGCCAAACCGTCATTTTCCTTTTTCTGAAGTCTTAACGTAGTCCGCTTCACGCCCTCCTCTCGCCTCCCGGACGGCGCACGCAGTCACCCGCCGTTTCTCTTTGGTTGCACTTCTCCGGCGGAACAATAGACATTCACGAGTTTACTTGAAAGAAGCTTCCTTTCTGCAGCTACGTCTTCATTTGCTTCTACATAAGCTAACCACAACATGTAAGCTCGTCATCCTCTTTTCTTGTTCGATAAAATGCCTCACTGAAGATGGAATTTGGAGATCTTTTCCCTGCTTTCTAATTTTTGATTTAAATGATTTTTTATAGCCCTCCCCTTTACCTCCAATCGTTGGATTTCAATTTTTTATCTTTCCTTATTTTGCTCTTGAAAACTTGAAAATTGCCCCTCAAAATAGAGAAAATGGTTTCAACATTCTAGTTTTAGTGGTAAATATCAAAATAAAGGTTATCATAGTCATGTTTACTACCATATTTGCTTCGCGATAATGATTAAAGGTTAGCGGTAAGTGCATTTGAACTTTCATGTATGCAATAAAAGAAAGAGCTTTCTTATATGGGATTTGATTAGAAAATCCATTCTGTTTCTTAGAAATGCTGTCAATTTTGCAGGTTTTGATCGCTGTTAATGTTTTTTGTTTGAGAAATTTCTTTCCATGTGGAATTTGAGGCGTCAAGTATCAGTTTCCCCTTCTTTCATACATTCCTTACTGAATGATAGTTATTACAAGATAGCTGGGGTCTCTAGACATCAGTTTTCAGCTTATTGGAGTAACAAACCAGTGTCTGTGGTAGTTGATTCCCCCTTGAACAGCTTAGGGAAGCTAACGTTATTCTTTGGTCAACAGAGTGGGTTTCCCCCTTCTTCACGGTCTTTCTCAACCACTACTGGAACCATATTAGTCCAGGCCCGAGACTCGGCTAAACTGAATTTGGAAATACAGAATGCTATTGATGAGCATCGATATGTTGATGCCTGGAAGTTATTTGATCAGCACATGCAGATGGAAGGGTTTCCTAGAAAATCTGTTGTGAACAGCCTTCTGACAGGCTTTGCAGAAAGTCTTGATGTACAGTGGCTTGAGAAGGCTTTTGGAATGGTGGAACAAGCTTTTGAGGAAAGTAAACAGAACTTGTTGGAAAAAGAGCCTCTGATTTATCTTTCTCTCAGTCTTGCCAAATGTGGTTTGCCAGTTCCTGCATCAACCATTCTGAGAAAATTGATAGAAATGGAGCAATTTCCTCCTGTTACTGCCTGGTCCGCCATCTTAGCCCACATGTCACTAACAGCTCCTGGAGCTTACCTTGCTGCTGAGCTAATTCTTGAGATAGGTTACTTATTCCAAGATGGAAGGGTGGATCCCCGAAAGAAGAGTAATGCACCTTTGATTGCTATGAAGCCTAACAACACTGCTTTCAGCATTGCTCTGGTTGGGTGTCTGTTGTTTGGGACAACAAGGAAAGCGGAGCAGCTTCTTGACATGATGCCTCGAATCACTATTAAAGCTGATGCAAACTTACTAATAGTAATGGCACACATTTATGAGAGAAATGGACGAAGAGAAGAATTGAGAAAGCTTCAGAGGCACATAGATGAAGCTTATAACTTGACTGATATTCAGTTCAGGCAGTTCTACAATTGTTTGCTTACATGCCATTTAAAATTTGGAGATCTCATTTCTGCCTCCAATATGGTTCTAGAAATGCTTAGGAAAGCAAAGGAGGCACGAAACTCTCTTGCTGCTGCTACACTTGTGCTTGATGCTGGTGGAAATGATAATAGATTCCCAAATGTATGGACTTCTGGGCAAAAGTATGGACAAGAATCAGGTGGATTAGGTAACCACGATAGTTTGATTAAGAGCCAGATTATATCTTATGAAGAGTTATCCAGAGACAGACATTTTTTAAAACTTGGGAATGAGGCAAGCAATTTACTTGACATTCTGTTGGCTAAGCTGTTGATGCAAGTTGAATTAATTACTACTAAACGTGGTATTCTCCAGCCAACGGAAACAATTTTTGTGAGATTGGTTAAGGCTTTTCTGGAAGCTGGGAAGACCAAGGATTTGGCTGAGTTTCTTATCAAGGCAGAGAAAGAAGACTCTCCAGTTTCAAATGATGATTCAGCCTTGGTTCATGTGATCAACTCATGCATTTCACTAGGTTGGTTAGATCAGGCACATGACCTTCTTGATGAGATGCGTTTTGCTGGGGTTAGAACTGGTTCTTCTGTATATTCATCCCTCTTAAAAGCATACTGTAAAGCAAATCGAACAGGGGAAGTGACATCACTTCTACAAGATGCTCAGAAGGCTGGAATCCAGCTTGATACGAGCTGTTATGAAACAATGATTGGATCGCGAGTGCTACAGAAAGATACTCCTGGAGCTCTCAGTCTATTCAAAGAAATGAAGGAAGCTAAGATACCAAGAGGTGGTAATCAAGAATTTGAGAAGTTGGTTAAGGGGTGTGCTGAGAATGGTGAGGGAGGATTGATGGCAAAGCTCTTGCGGGAAATCAAGGAAGGGCAGAAACTGGACAGTGGGGTGCATGATTGGAACAATGTAATCTATTTTTTCTGCAAGAAAAGGTTAATGCAAGACGCTGAGAAAGCTCTGAAGAAGATGAGAAGTCTAGGACATGCCCCAAATGCTCAAACTTTCCATTCTATGGTCACTGGGTATGCTGCTATTGGAGGGAACTATACAGAGGTAACAGAGCTATGGGGAGAAATGAAAGCTCTTGCTTCTTCTACCCCAATGAAGTTTGATCAAGAACTCCTGGATTCTGTGCTTTACACATTTGTCAGGGGCGGATTTTTCGTTCGAGCAAATGAAGTAGTGGATATGATGGAGAAAGGCAACATGTTTGTCGACAAGTACAAATATCGGACCCTTTTCTTAAAGTACCATAAAACACTCTACAAAGGGAAGGCTCCCAAATTTCAGACTGAAGCACAACTAAAGAAGAGAGAAGCAGCATTGAACTTCAAGAAATGGGTCGGATTAAACTGAGATTATTTTCATTGTGTTCCTTGCATACTTGTATAAAATTCATCATCAATGCTAATTAGCATAAGATGCATTCTTTGAATGTTATATTTCATGCATGTTAATTTTTATAAAAACAATAGCTCTTGGAAGATCCTCAACAGAAATCTAACAGTATCTAAAAGTTATTCAGTATAACAGTCAGTGATTATAAAATAAAATAATACTGTGTAGTTTAATCAAATTGGACAATTTAAGTCTCTTTTTAATGATTTTTATTTTATAATTTAAATTATAAAACAAAATCTATATTTTTTTATTAAAAATATTATAATTATAATACAATGTGATATAATTAAATTTTTATATTTAAAAATTTATCCGTAGTATTATATATATTTATATATTTAATATTATATTATATTAATATTTTTTTATAATTATAAATTTATAATATTACAGTAATATCATAATTATAATATTGTAAATTTTTTTTATTACGTAGCCTACAAGAAAAAAAAAAAAACATGAAAAGGCCGAAATTCTCATGGGAAGCGTAAAAAATCCTTCGATGTAACGCGGCGGAGAGGATCCATTTCACCACAACAAAGGCGGTCTCGTTGGTAGTTAGGAAAGCGCGATTCTGGGGACCACCGTGTCTTATATAAACCCGCCGTGATCCGCGAAACAACCTGCCACCTAAACACGTACAGTCTTTTCCTTCCTGCTTGCTTTACTCAACTCACCTCAAATTTCAAAAACCCTAATTTTCTCCTCTTTTTCCACTCCGATTCTCCTCCCAGGAACCTCCGAATGAAGCGCTTCCGGGTCCCCAGCTCTTCCGGTTTCACCGATGACCGTGTACTCAACCCCCCGATGGCAACTGCCACCGCCGCCGCCGCTTTCAATTCCACTGTCCCTCCCTTCTCGGCGCAGCAGATTGATTCAGAAGTCTATCCGGGAGCGAGTTTTTCAGTTTCGGAGACGGCTATGGAGGATGGAGAGAATGTTGGGAATTTCCTCGAGAGGTGCTTTTTATGCAAGAAGATGCTGAACCAGAAAAACGAAGTGTATATGTATGGGTATGGGTTTTATTTTATGATCGCATTCTATTAATTTTAAGTAGAATATGGCAAAATCTGAATTCCTGATTTGAATATTGTTACGAGTGTTTATTGGTTCTGTTTGGATTCTGAGAAATAAAACCGGAAAATAAAGGAGTAAAACCATATTCTTTAATTTGGTCTGCTTTTATAAATAGTTATGTCTCCAACTTAAAGAGATCATACCCTGTTTGGTAGCAGAAAAAACCCTTAAAAAAATCATATTGTGGCATCATAAAAAATTGATTGGTATAAATATTTAAAACTAGGGATTAGTGGTTTTTTTTTTTTTTTTTTGACTAGGTAGATGGTTAGTAAGTTAGTAGAGTTAATTTGTTAGCAGCTGAAATTTTTCCAAGAAAGTGAACGTTCCACCCCTTCATTTGAGCCGCGCGATCATTAGGTCGTAAGTTGGTGGAGTTGACGGTGGTGGCAGAGCTTGAAGCCCTGAACTCCACCTCACCCAAACCCTAAAATTTGGAGGCCAACCAATTGGGCCACAGGCCCGGTTGGCAGTGATTAGTGGTTTTGTTTACTTATTGTTAATAATAATAATTATTATTAATTCAAATATTCTTATTCATTTAATTAGGTAGAATTCTTAACTGTTAGTTTTAGACTGCTATACCAAATCACTTAAAGCGTAGGATTGCAATAACTAGGGAGGATTATATTCTTTGAAGTTTTATCTTTTCCTCAAATCTCCCGCTACAATTTGCATAAGATCTGCCTCTTGTATATCATTATGCATGTGATGATCTTTTCGACATTTCCTCCCTCGTATCCTAGTTTATGCTTTTCCATGTCTAGAATTAATGAATTATTAGCAATTCCGGACTCCTACATTATTGAATCTAATGTTAGTTAGCCCAAAAGCCTTTTTCTTTGGTTGTTCACCAGGATGATTGTCAATCACTCTATAACCTTTCGCAATTGTACCTTTCAATTAAAGTTACTCTCTTTTCCTGGAAGTATGGTGGTGTGGCCATTTTGTTTACCTTGATTTTACGCGATTTAGTTGATTGATGGAGAAGTAATATTGATGTATACACTTGCGTGATTGCTGGTCCGGAGTGTGGAACTTTGTGTTACCTTTATTAATGATGCTTAATCAAGAAGACTGCTTTGATTTCCTGCAGAATCTTCCAGGCGTTTTGTACACCTGAATGCCGCGACAAACAGATTGACATTGACCACAAGATGAAGAAAGTTTGTAAACAATCAGGAGGGCAAGCAAGTGCTGGGAGCAGCAGAAAAAGCAAAAATCAGTCTGGTTCTCATCATCCTGGAAAGCATGCGGCTGTACAGTTTCACATATAATTAGGTAGTTCACTGTGGTAGTGGTGCATGGCTTGCATTTTATAGACTGGCTTGCACGTCCCTTCACGGAATAGCCTAGTACTTATACAGTTAGCTTAGGGTCAGCATCTGCATGTATGCTTTTCCAGGTTAAACTTTTGGATTCAGCTTTCATGGTACATTTTATAAACATGTCCTAATACTAGATTAATTTTAAGATCACCTATTGTTTTTTTATTTTTTTAGTATTATGGTTAAGGTGTTATTTGATAAGTTTTTGTATATTTCAAAGTTAATTTCTTTTCAAATGATTTTAAGAGTGCACTTCTTACATTAATTTAGTACATTCAAAAAAATTAATTTTCGTTAGTTACAAAACTTAAACCTTCAACTTGACTTATAAAATAATACTTACCTATCAGTAGATCTAATCTTGGGGTTAAAATTCAACTATTGTACCCACTTGATGCAGACGTATTATGGATAAAATCAATGTGAGTAATGCACGTATATATGAAAGATGTATGGTGTGCCTCTTAGAAGAATATATTTTCTTCACTTACATCGTCTATTTGAAAACATCTTTTATGTGCTATAGTAATACAGTTATATATACTGTAAGTCACATGTTTGGGTTTTAATCCCTAGCCACCAGTGCAAAACCCAAAAAAAAAAAACAAAAAACAAAATGCTAGTAGTAAATTTGTTAGTCTTCTTGGTACAGGCTAATGACTCAAAGGGAACTTTGAACAGAGGCCCATTCATATGTTGAAATGGGCCTCATAGCTCAAGTCCAGGTCCGTCAATCTTCAGGGCTCAACCCATGAATTTTATCTCGACCGGGCCGAAAACCAGTGCTGGTGAATTTTCCAAAAATTAGGCAGATTTGAGTGGCACTTCTTTTCAGAAGGAAATTTTGCCGTTTTAGTTTTGCATAATGACGACTAGAGATACCCAACAGGATGCGGTTATTCTCACTGATTCTTTTTAATTTGACAGTTAAAAATAATTAATAATTAATTTTTATTATTTAATAAATTAAAATTAATTTATAGATTAATATTTTTAAATATTATAATTATTTTTTTAAAAATATTATAAATAAATAAAATATCAACTAAATTAAATAAATTTTCAGGCGTACTAGCAAAATAGTGAGTGCCATAGTGAGTGCCATCATCACACCCTGCACAACATAGTCTAAAAAAAGAAAGAGGATTGTACCAAAAAAAAAAAGAGAGAAGGAGGATAGACTCTCATGACCACAAACAACAACACACTGTCCAAATTATTGACTCCAAGTCTACGCCACCCGTGATATCACCTTGAAGTCACGCTCACTCCAGTCTCCTCTTGTTGACCCCTGGTGCTGCCATTTCTGAATCTGTCTCCTTGTTTAACAAGCAAAACAAGTTTTTAAGAAAACGAAGCTTAAGGTGACATCACCTGACCATAATCAATACTTAATTTGGCACCGCGCCTCATCCGTCCCTACCGCGCGTCCTAGCCAGCTACCAGCATTTGGGCTACGGGTTCTCCATGCACGTGCATTCCCCCTTTTTGGCTCCCAAAAATGGGTTTGTGTGTTTGTCCCCACGCAATCCATACACCATCGGCCAGCCCTAGGCGCCCTCGTCATGCTTCAGTAACCCTACCTTTGCACATGAGGCAGAATGATGATCGAATTCCTGAAAAAGGTGAATCCATGTGTGTGTGTATATGTTTATTCCGGAATCCAAAGGTAGTATAGTGGATATCATATGGAGGAGATCGAGGCGAGAGGAAGTTGGCAATTGGGGTTCTCAGTGTGCATGCATTGATACCTCCTCCCAATGACAAAAAAGACTGAGATCCATTGTTATTTTCGTCAAGCGTGGCCTGAGGCAACCCTGTCAGACCCTCAGAAAAAACTATCCATGTATTTGATTCATTTTTTCCTGGGGACCAATTAATGTTTGCACACCGCACATCTATCTTTTTGGTTGAATAACATTCCCTCCATTGTCTGTTTCTTAAAAGTGTAATTTGCTTTCTAACGCCCTTTTTATATGGTACCCAACATTAGAGTTAATATTACTAACCATTCAAAATTTAATTCATATAGCACGTAATCTCTAATATTAAGATTAAATTGAAGTTATGGATTTAATGGTTCAATTCAAAACCTTAATACTAGAAAGTTTCATTCTCATTGATTTAAAAAAACATCTCAACTCCTCAAAATTTTCCTATATTTAAAAAAAAAAATCTTTAATATTAACACTCATTTTTTATTTAATAATTTTTATTATAAACTTTAATAAAATTTAGATTGCATAGTGATTTTTTGGCATATTAGATATACAAATTATAAGTGCTGGGTACTGAGTGGGGTATTTTCTGGATTGAGGGAAAGCTGCGTTAACGTATGCACGTGCCCTGCAACATATACACAAACCATTATTACGCACCAAAGGCCACATGTTGCAGAGCTTATTTATTATTTATTTTGCCAAAACTAGTTAACAAATTGTATCCCCAATTGCTGTGATTTCGAAAATCGTACGGTCCAAAACTGGATAAAGTTTTAAAAAGAGTTAGTTTCCTCCGCAATGACGTCAGGACGCCCATCAACATGTAGCAGAGCAGGATGGGGCTGCCACGTCAGAGGTCACAGCACGCGTAAGCAAAGCCAGTACTATTTGTCCTGATGGCTCAGAGTTCAGCTGTGTG